TTTATAGAAATGGGTTAATTTAAGATAGAAGAACAGTTAGCAAGAAGCCTGCCACGGCCATATAGTTTATAAGTGATATAAGCGTCTGAGTGATTATTTTATAAGTGGATTGTGGGACTGCGGGGCTTGGTGGAGCCTGGAGAGAAGCCCTCCAGCAACAGACTAATATTTTAAGCCTAACTGTTCCTCTCTATTACTATAAATTCCATACCATTCTCTTCAAATCAATAAAAGAAGGAATAGAATATTTCAAATGGTCAGATTTAAACTGGCTTGACACAAAAGTCTAGACAAATATCTCTCAATGTTATATAGGGCTATTCCAGAACATAAATAAACTTATTTGCAATTCCAATTTCTTTTTTTTCATTCAAATACATGAATATTCTATGGCATACACCAGAGAGAAGATAAGTCTGTGATGTATTAAACATATTTTGTCCACAACAAAATTCATGTTGCAGCTTAGTACATTCATATGGCTATACTTGGAACTGGGTGGTGCTTGGGCCAAGGTGCAGAAACTGCCTGAATTGATCAATGCCTTCTAATGGGAGTAACTTCTTACTCTCACATGACTACATTAACAACTGAATATAGTAATTACAAAATGGTTATGATTGTGACTATTCTTGACTTTTATTCACCCTAGAGAAAGAGGACACTAGAAGACCAAAGAAAACATTTTGTCCTAGTACAGATTGGTGAACCAGTAAGTTTACTAGGGTTAATTACATGAACATTAGAACCTAAAAGGCAGCTGTACCACCAGGAAGTTGTCTGAACAATTTATGGCAGCTTTGTCACTAAGAGTCCCAACTGCATTGTAATAAGTTGCACCACTAAAGATTCCCTTGCACAATTTATGGGTAGCCATACTACTGAAGAGTTCCCGTAAGCAATCATTTTATTTTATCTCTTCTGTAACCTCTAGAAGTGAGAGGAGGCTCTGATGTATCCATTGAAGAAGGTTCAATAGCTCAGTGAGCCTTTGTACCCCTTCCATATGAGAACATGGAAGTACTGTACATTAAATCCCAGTTCCAAATGCAGTCATATGAATGTATTAAGCACCAATGTGAATTTTATTGTAGGCAAAATATGTTTAATACATAACAGACTCATCTTTTCTTTTTTCTTTTTTTTTTTTTTTTGGTTTTTTCGAGACAGGGTTTCTCTGTGTAGCTTTGCGCCTTTCCTGGGACTCACTTGGTAGTCCAGGCTGGCCTCGAACTCACAGAGATCCGCCTGGTCTGCCTCCCGAGTGCTGGGATTAAAGGCGTGCGCCACCACCGCCCGGCACAGACTCATCTTTTCTATGATGTATGACTTCTATGCTATTAAGATCTCATAGCACTGATGACAAACACAGTGATTTATTGGGCAATGATCATGTCCAACTCAGAAGAAGCAGATATATAACAGTGATAAAGAAAGGTTACTCCTTATGTGTGCAATCTCTGAAAGTACCTGTTAGGCCTTTGCATTTCTGCAATGGGTCCTTCACCAGAAGCTAAACAAGTTCTATAAACATTACGAACTTTTAGAAACATGAATCAAAATAAAATGTCCTTCTGAATAAATAACATAATCCCAGAAATTTTGTTACAGCAATAGAAAATGTACCAAAAGAGTATTTGAAAGTACACAAGTACACTCAGATGTTTTAAAACATAGCAAATGACCTCTAAAATAAGCCTTTTGAAGGTAGTTGTTCCAAAGGCTTTTAGGTGAAAAAAGAATTGTGATTTTGTTTTCAATTAATTTCAAACTCCATATACAAAGCACTGAAGGCAGCATAGAAACCTTGACATTATAAGCAAAATGTTATTTATCTACTGTATAAATAGCAGTAATTGTGAGGTTCTGCATACAAACATCTTCAGGAAATATCCTGTTTCAATTATCATCTTTCATAGCAGAAAAATACATCTGCAATGAATTACTTGCTAATATTTTACTTTGGAATAGTAGCATTTTAAATGTGATAAATATGATTATAATTCATTTTATTATAGCTACAAAATCTAGAATGATTATTAGTGTCTTATTGCTCAATAACTGTTTTTACAACATTTCAATCAATCTGCATGCTATTTTCTGTTTTTATACTATAAGATAAACTCAGAATAAATAAATCTAGTATTATGAAGAATAAATATAGACAATGTGAAGAATAAATAGACAATGATCATTTGAAACAAAGTCCATAGTTTTCATTTTGACTAGGTATGCCTTTACGTCAGAATTTGTTATGGAATTTAATGTACATAATTTGTTAGTAAATTGTATAGAATGTCATAAAATAATCAAAGCAACAAAAGTTGAACTTATGTGAACAAATTCAAGACAAGCACAAGTTTAGATGATCAATTTGAACAACCCAGACTTCTATACATGCTGTAATGTATATGAAAACATCTTGGACTTTTATAATATACAATTTAAATGTCCATATAAATTTATCAAGAATTGCACACAGTACCTCCCTAATGATGCTAGATTATTTAATTGACATACCATGTTCCTACCTTTACTATTGGTCATTTAGTGTGTTTAATTATTTTAAAAAATGTGACAGCATAAAAATATTTTTATTAAATTAAATTTATTTTCATTCACTCATTATAACTATATTAATGTGGTACCATTAGACATTTTAATATATATATATATATATATATATATATATATATATATATATATGGTGTGTGTGTGTGATATCTAAATAAAGATGAACATATCTGTCTCCTCAAATCTTTATCATTTCTTTACAGTGAAAGCTTTCTAGGGCTGGTTAGATGATTAGAT